GTGCAGGTTTATTTACATGTTACTCGTGTCTTTTAGATGATCATAAAATCATGTAAAGTGGATTTAAAAAAATGAGACCCCAAAGTGCCCGAATGTGTCACTTCGCACTGGGTACAAGGGTGGAAAAGGCAATTCAAGTCTTCCATGTATGCTCAATAACACAAAGACATCTATATGCAACAATAATACAAGTTCAAGAGTTTTAAAACTTTCACAGAGGCTATAACAATTTCTATTTTTTGTATATTCTACTGAATATTTGTGGATGTCAGTGGATAAGCAATCAGTGACAATCCAGGGTTAAGAGGAGGAAGCAGAGTCATAGTGTAACCCTCTTCTCTGCTCCTCCATTCCAGGAGTTACTTAGTGAAAACCTATAGTAAGGTGTCTGTCCCCCAGTCATTGAATTTTTTTACATCAAGGGTAAACAGAGGAGTTGTGCATGAAAACCTCATAAAAATGTAAACCACAAGAGAAATAGTGCATACAAATATAAGAGTAAAATGTTGAATCTTGAATTTCAGATCTCTCTCTTCTAAATGTGTGCGAGTAAATTAACTAATATCAGATAATGAGTATGATTTATTTTGTGTTACTGAAACCTGGCTGGGTGATGGAAAATATGTGAGCCTAAATCAATCCACCCCTCCCTGTCATAAGAATATTCATATTCCTCGAAGCACAGGTCGATGAGGTGGAGTTGCACTTATCTTTGACTCCAGTGTTGTAATCAGCTCTAAACCTAAGATGAATTATAACTCTTTTGAAAGCCTTGTTCTGAGTCTTTCCCACCCAAGCTGGAAATCACTGCAACCTATTCTTTTTATTATAGTGTACCGAGCACCTGGTTCGTTCTCTGAATTCTTATCTGAATTATCTGTTTGCTAACTTTCGAGCTTTTACTGCTGAATTACCCTCCACTGGGTAAAAATGTCTACTCAAGATGCCTGCCTGATAGTGCCATAGCTAAATTTAAGGATGTGATTCCATCAGCTCTAAATCCATTATCAGGTCATACAGAAACAGAGGACTCTTCTGTTCATTTCAGTCCTTCCCAAGTTGATCATCTTGTTGAAAGTGTTGGAAGCTCGCTGAGATCAGCATGCTGTAGCCCCCCTAAAGAAAAAAAAACTTAAAAATAGATGGTTAGCTCCATGGTATACTACTGAAAGCCACAAATCAAAGCAAATATCTCGGAAACTTGAGAGAAACTGGTGTTCCACCGAGCTGGATAATTCTTGTTTATCTTGGCAAGACAGTCTTAAAACTTATAGGAAGGCCCTCCGTGATGCCAAAGCAGTGTCACTACTTGTCTTTAATAGAGGAAAATAGGAACAATCCCAGGTTTCTTTTCAGCACTATAGCCAGACTGACAGAGAGGCACAGCTCTATTGAATCAAGTACTCCAATAGCTCTCACTGGCCATGACTTCATGAGCTTCTTTAATGATAAAATTCTAGCTATTAGAAACAAAATCCACCAAGACTTGCCCTCAACTGGCACAGACTAATTTTTAAACTCAGAAACCGTAGGAACAACTGTAAAACCAGTTATATGTTTTGACTGCTGGACCCAGATGTTTTAGCCAATTACAGATTCCATTTATCTCCTAGGTCCTGGAGAAAGCAGTAGCCAAACAGCTGTGTGACTATCTACGTAGCAATAGCTTGTTTAAATATTTTCAGTCAGGATTTAGAGCACTGGTGAAAATTACTAATGACCTCCAAACGGCATCAGAGAAAGGACTTGTTAGCGTATTGGTTTTACTAGATCTTAGTGCTGCTTTTGACACCATTGACCATCAGATCCTATTACAGAGACTGGAACATTTCATTGGCATTAAAGGAGCCGCTCTAAGCTGGTTTAGGTCCTATTTATCAGATCGGTTTCAGTTTGTGCATGTTAACGATGAGTTTGTAGAGATGCATCTTAGATTGGTCACAGTAGTAGTAAGAGCAGAATCGATATTCAAAAACAGATTAATATCAGGGCTGCACAGTGATGTGGTGTTTGGCACACAGCTAGAAGATTCCTGGTTCAAATCCCAGCTGGGGCCTCTCTGAGTGGAGTTTGCATGTCCTCCCTGTATATGTTGTGTGCTAACAGTCCTGCTCCTGATCTGTTTTTTCTTTCAAACATCCATAAAAACCTGATGAAGAATAGCTATTTCAATCTGATATGCTGCTTAAAATAAGTAAGAATCTGAAATGTAGCTGTTAAAACTGACTGATAGACAAAATGACTATAGAGGATGGCTGGTAAATGGATCGATCTCTTGCTGTTTGTGGTTTTATTTCTATGTGCGGACATGCACACTGAAACAATGGGAATCATCACAAATTGAAGGTCTCTGCAAGTTCGTCATTGATCACTTGCAATCCCGCATCAACATGTTGAACTTTCGACCGTCTCAGAAATACTGTATGTGAAACAGTCAGAGCAGTGGGCTGTTCTTGGTTGGGTGACTGCGTGTTTAGGACCTTTAGCTTAGATCTGTCATGTAAATCAAGGAAAATTCAAATGGACCAAGATCTACTTTGAGTAAGTTTAAAGACTGAAGATTGAACAGTGTATCTGCCGTTGTTGTTTTTTCACGTGTGCTTCTTTATTGTTAATAGTTTTTCAGACTTTGCCCTCTTCGTTGTGAAACTTGTTTTTTTGTCAATGTGGACTAGCCTAATTCACTCTCAGTCAGCAAGCATTCTTCAAGGTCTATGCTCTGCTGCCTTCTTGGAGGACAATATTTCTGTCAGCATTGACAAATATTTGCTAATGTTTGAATTACATATTTTATGTGTAGTTAAATCAAACTAGTTCAAAGTAATAGTTACATTCTAGATCTTCAAGACTTGCACGGTGTAGACTGGGGTGAATAAAAAAAAAAGTAAAAAACATTATGAGTTATTATGCTTTTATGCAGTTTTTGCTCTCATTGAAATGAATGGAGAATCCTTAAAAAATAAGCGTACTTTCAGCTAGAGTTTACATTAAACTATTAAAAAGGTCTCAAGGCATTAAGTAACCAAATGCTAATTCAAATATTATAAACATTTGAATTATAGCAGTTTAAAAATCTGTAAAATTCCAAGTTTTCAGTGAAGCGTGCAGGTCACATGAAACACTTTGGCACTTTGAACAAATTCAGGAATTCAGAAATTCGTCACACTCCTTTCGCTTACTCACCCATCTTTTAACTAATATCAACAAACTTTAGCCTAAAATGTAGTACAACATGTCTTCTTTCTGCTGATGTAACTATCAAAACAGGATTTTTAGTAGTGACCTTCAGAGTCAGAAAAACAAATCTAGTCTCTACATAGAAAGCAATGTTACACATTTTCAAAAACTTTCTTTTTCAAAATGAGCCAAAAATAGACACCTGTGCCTTCTTCAGTTCCTCCTGGTGCTCACAGTTAAAGTTTTACAGATAGAACTTGTAGGACCTGACGAGACAAACAAAGCTGCACTAATTTGAGGCAACACATACCATCCGAATGACCGATATTACTCTCATCTAGATGTCTCTGGTACGTTCCCATGTGGACCACTTTCCACTGATGCTCATTCCAGTTTGAAACAATGCAAAAGTTGAAGACTTTGCACGGAAATTCTTCTTGTATAATTTTTTCTTTAAACAGTTGCTGTCAAAACAGGCGCTGTGCAAAACAGTTTTTGAACACTTCCAATCCCTCTACCTTCAAATGGCTTAAGCACCTGTAATTGATGACATTAGAAGGGAGGGGCTGCCTGTTCCTGTTTGTAACTGAGATTGGACAGGGAAGGACACTGTGTTACCCGGTATGGGACATCTTTTTTTTCCAAACAGGTCTCTTTTAATTCTTTCTGATGGAATGATTAGCGCAGGAGCGCTACTGCTCATGATAACCCGCGTCCTATTTCTATCCAATCGGACAACACATATGTTTGCATTCACAATGCATTAGACCGTTCTTGAGTTCCAATCAAATTTTTAACTTGAATTTACTGTCAGCTTGAGAATTTCCTTTTTTTTCCTGCATTTTCTGCTGCATTCATTAAGCAGATCAGCACCATATTTCCATTTAACCATTAGAACTTTTTCTTTAAAAAAAAAACTTTAAATTGTCTTCAGCTGTCACTTTTGCTCTACTACAATAAAAAATGTAACTATCAAAATTAGGCCTTTTAGGGTGGCACAGTGGTGTTGTTGTTAGCACCGTCACCTCACAGCTGCGTTGAGTTTGCATGTTCTCCCTGTGTCTGGGTGGGTTTCTCCCCGGGTTCTCTGGCTTCCTCCCACAGTCGAAAAACCTGCATGTTCGGTTGATTAGACATTCCAAATTGCCCTTAGGAGTGAATGTGTGTGTGTGTGGTTGTGTGTCTCCTTGTATGTCTAGAGTGTGGCGCTGCGATGGACTGGCGGACTGTCCAGGGTAAACCCCACCTCTTGCCCATTGACCACTGAGACAGGCTCCATTTCTCCCCATTAGGGAATAAGCGGTAACAATAATGGATGGATGGAATTAAGCCTTTTAATAGTAAGATTTCCAAGGCCATTCACTAAATTTTAGAAATCCTTTTACTACCATCTTTCATCTTTCTCTGTGTCTTCAAATGCTTCACCATGTTCACTTTCAGAAGACTTCCTGTCACATTTTATTGTCTATTTCAGTTGATTGATGATCAATTTATCAGTTTCATGATCATCTTCTGATCAGCATTCTCATAGCTGTTTTTGCAGTAAACAGCTCTTTCAGGGTCTGTTTTGTATTTCTACCCACCTAAATAATTAGTGTGCACAAAATTCCCAGTTGGAACTCAATTTAGACACACAGCAAAACACAAACAAATAAACCACCAAGTGAAGGAATCAAATCATTAATACAAATTATGAGAATCTAATTAAAACACAATTAATATTATGAACACATACATCAACATGATTTCCAAAAATGCAACAATGTGTATTATTTAACAATACAACAAAACTTATTTTCTTTCAAGTCTAGCATCTGATGGACTCACTTGTGGGACTTCTTGCCCTCCATACCGTCAGGGCCTGAACCACAATCATGAGCTTGGATGATGAAGGTGTACTCTTTTTGTAGTTCACAGTCCACCAGGCCGCGTGTCCTCAGCTGACCCTCACCAGATGTTCCATTCAGCACCACTGCCTCAAATGGAGCATCCAGACCATGGATGTTGAATGCGCAGATCTCCCCTGGGGAGGAGGGTTTAGGAGTTGGAAAAAATAAAGAAATGGAAAGATGAGGGTCAGTTTTTCTTTTAAAGCCATGTCAGATTAAGTGGGAGAAAACTATAAGTTCATTTTGAACATTCAGTTTTTCAGTAGAAAGATTAAGTAGAAAGTAGATAAAGAACCACAACAAACACCAAAGTATCTTTCCAGTGGACCTTCATTGACAGAATCTAGAGCGAATGTTTCCATTTTCCAACCTATTTAAACCCTCCATTAATTTTTATTTACTCATTTGGCAAACGCTTTAAACCAAATTAACTTATAAGTCTGAAAGCTTCAGTTCAGTCAGAAATTAGGCATGGAGACATACAGGGGGTTACACTAAAGTGATTTTCAGAGTAATTTATTGGATTGGGCATGACAAATGCTTTTACTACCAGGTTGACTGCTGCCTTATTTGAATCATTAAAATAATCATAGTTTTCTTTAATGGTTTTAGAGTGTGGCATAGCACAGCTCTGCTCTCCAGTTTAGGTACTTTCTATGTCACACAGGGCATGCAATATTGCTGTTTTATCAAATTGTTCCAGAATGTTCCAGATATTTCTGTCACACCAGCGTTGCCACTACCCCTACTGTTTCAGAAATGTGACTATCACTCATGACCCGCGACCCCATTAGGGACTAAACGGTAACGATAATGGATGGATGGACTCTCTCATGATTACTAATCGCAATAAGCTCTGACTAGTTTACTTATAAAAACAATCAATTTGCCACACATTTAATGTTTTCACATCTGACTTTCTAAATGTATCACTAACATCAGTTGAGTCATCAAATGAGAACATGAAACATGTTTGCAAAGTACTGTAAGTAATTATGCTTGTAATTAAATTGACAAAAAATATGGTAGTGTCTGACATCATGGTGCTACAGATTGAATTGAATTGAACTGAAATGAAATTGAATTTAATTTAATTTAATTTAATTTAATTTAATTTAATTTAATTGAAAGCCTTTATTGTCATTATACATCAGTACAATGAGATTTGGAACCGTATGCAACCACACAGGAGGGAGCTCCGTTTTCCTTCAGAACAAGAATATACATTGGGAAAGTGGTTGCGGGAAGAGGGGAAAAAAAGGCCCAGTGCCATGCCCCCTACAGGGGACCAAACAGTGATAAAAATAAAAAAACACCTCAGTACACTAAAGCACAGGTACAGTCAAATCACAAAGGACACATAGGGAGGGAAGGATGGGGGGTTGGAAGGAAGGGGAAAGGTAACAGCGAGGCAGTGAGTCCAAGGAATGCATGCAGTCTGTACTTGTGTGTTTGTAAGTGTAAGCAAGCTGGAGTCCACATCCACAGGCTAGAGGGAATTTGTCCTTGTGATGCCCATACTTCTGCTTGGGAAGAGGGAGGGGGTTGGGGTGGGCAAAGCGTCCATCTGCAGTTTCGTCCAGGGCAAGTTTGCAGAGTAGCAGCTGCAAGGCCGCTCTTTGGAGGCCAGATTGAAATAAGATAGATAGCTTTGTTCCAGACAGAGCATGTTTTGTCTGCTGTAAGTCCTCAGCAGGTCTCTCAATGGCGATCCAATTCAGCCAAATTGTGTTAGTTTCCCTCCATCCGAACCACCAACTTTTCCAAGGTGTTACCCATCGCCTTCATGCTGTCAGACATCGTCCCCATTTTGCTCCTATGAGCATCCTGAATGCTCCACTGAGTCTCCTGTTTGCTCACATGAGCATCATGTTTGTGAGACAACTTGCACAAGGTTTGAGTCAGTGTTGATGGTCCTGTAAACGGGCTCGACAGGCAGCTTACCACCAGTTGCCATCAGCTTCCGAATTTCTCGAAAACCTAGGTATCCACCAACCCCGATCAGCAGGAATCCAAATAGGTATAGGTCCTCAACGTCCTCCACGGAGAGAACTGAAAGGCATAAAACCCTCCACTTCTTCCAGGCATCCATTGTGTAACCTGCAGGGTGAGTCCCAGCTGGACAAGTTGCAGCCCCAGCAGCTTGTCTTTGGGTAGTAAAAATGCTGTCAATTGCGTTGAGAGACCAGCCGACCAAATCCATGGTTAATGTTAGGCTTTATGAAGCGAAAATGCAGAAAGAGGCTCTGAGATACGACAGCGCAGAGATAGCAAGCAGGCAAAAAGGACAGGGGAGGGAGCAGAGAGAAATGCGTCTGCACTCGCAGAGAGTGGTCGTTTGTCTGATCTTTAGCAGAAGAGGAACAATAGCATTCTGTAGATATGTCATTGACACAGAACTATTAAAGAATCCTCTGCCATTTTACATTAATTCTCTGGCAAAATAATCCCAAACAAACAGCAATGAGTCCTTTCACAGACAGTTAGGCCTCTAGATGCTAAATAGTTTATGTCATCCATCCATCCATCCATCCATCCATTATCAATACCGCTTATTCCCTCATGGGGTCGCGGGGGGAACTGGAGCCTATCCCAGCGGTCAACGGGCGAGAGGCAGGGTACACCCTGGACAGTCCGCCAGTCCATCGCAGGGCCATACACAGGACATACAAGGACAAACAACCACTCACACTCACATGCACTCCTAAGGGCAATTTCCCTAATCTCCAATCAACCTAACATGCAGGTTTTTGGACTGTCATAGAAGTCTAATTCAATCAGTTCCTAATTAATGAGAGGAACAACATTCATCCATCCATCCATCCATTATCGTTACTGCTTATTCCCTAATGGGTCCGCGAGAACTGGAGCCTATCCCAGTGATCAATGGACACCCTGGATAGTCCACCAGTCCATCGCAGAGAGGAACAACATATTTCTCAGTTATGTTCCCAAGCCAAAGTGTAATTTAGAGAGGAGACCTTTTATCAATAGAATACTTCTAAGGGAGTCTGTAATTTCTTTCTGGTCTTTTTTATTTAGGCAGTGACCTAGACTTGGGTATCGTTATCCTTTTGCCTCTTGATAGTTGTTAACATAGTAAAAAATAACATAATCTTACCATGGTGTTATCACGTTTATAAATAGGTCAAGATCACATCACAGCCCTCTTACTATAAAGAGCACCAAAGACATTCCTGCTGTTTGCCCATCCGGCATGTGGACAGAGCACACCAAATTCAGCACAATAGAATTACCATGGTCCAATTTGGAAGCTAAATTATGTCCTTGAAGAGAAACATAGCACAAGGATATTCATTGAAATTCTGAGAGAGCAGCTGAAAAGAGCAACACAAATAAGCCCCCCAAAAAGCTGACATTTATAAGCAGAAGAGTATAAAGAAAAAGGCAATTTGTGGAGATTGAGATTAATTTTGTTTAAAATTTTTCTCTCAAAAACCTGATACACTCTTGTATTTCTGCTTTCGCAATTTCAGGAAATTATCTAATGCGGTGGGCTCACACTCTGACCTCTTACAGCTAATTGCACTGATATCACTTAAACTAACAGCAAAGACTTAATTTGATTCCAAGAAGCCTTTTGAATCCACTGCTCCTGCCAAGTTCAGATAAGAGCAACTTTATTTTCTGCCCATTCTATATCTCTTTTTATCCTGTCTGTCTTAATCCCCACACCTCATTCCCAACCCTCTCCCCCTCCCCTGCTGTTGGGACAGCAGCACATAACAGGCAAATGGAATATCCATCACCACTGAAATCAGAAATAAATCCAATATATTTAGAGAAGTAGAGAGGATTCCTATTAAGTGGAGGACATGCTGATGGTACACACACACCATTGAGACTTGGTGATCAAACATGCACATTGTGATTTAATTGTAGCTGATGGAAAGGCAGACCAGGAGGTCAAGGTGACTGCGAAAGTAAAAAACTTAAATGGCTGTGGGTACCAACCGACCTGTCAGGATGTTTTCTTCCTTTTATATTTGCCTATCACTTCACTCCAGAACTGGATAGTGTTTTGCCACCTGCGGCAGAGCAAAGATGGCTGTCGAATTAGAGAGGGCTGAGGGTGCAAGCGCCAGCCCCAGCTGCAGTGGAGGAACGAATATTAGGTGGATATCACTTGGCCGAGCAGGAGAGATCCCAAATGCTAATTACAGCATTCAACTGTTAGCTAAATATTAGTCTGCATGTCACATTAGACTTTTAAGAGCTACATTTATAATTACATGGACCTGGGTCCCCTACAAGTGGCAGCATTTAAAAAGTCATGAATATGAGCTAATATGGCTAATGTTTCTAAATGAATTTTACAAGCAATTTGACTATTAAGTATGTTTTGTATGATCTCCAGTTATCCATATGGGGTGCTTGAATCAAACTTACTTAACTTTTTAGACAGACTTTCTTTCTTTCATAGATCTTCTACAGCTTTCTCCTATGGACATTAATACATTTCATTCAATCAATTCTTAAAGGGACATTGTGTAGTAATTTATTAGCTAAAATAATTGTCCTCATGCCTAATTGCCAGGTCCCTCCATCACTGCGTCTCTCCCTCATTTGGTGTAAAATTACATTTGCAATGATCTGACTTCTCCTCATAAGCAAAGACTAACCTATCTGTATATACATAGGAAGGGTAAGTCAACAGAGGTTTCCATGTCGTTCTGCCATTTTGAAATACTTTAATCGTAGAGAGGGACATAAAGCACTAGTCTATCTGTCTAGCTAATCCACATCGTTTTCGTTCAGAGCCAGTCACATGGTGGAAATCAGCTATAATATGTGAGAGGTGCTCGCTTGTCACCTCCATGCTAGTCACTGCCCCGGCAAATTTGAAAGCTTGCATTGCACTTTAGTCCATACTGGAGGATCATACTTATGCCGAGCCACAGGAGAAGGAATCATCGTCGCCAAAAAAGCGATGGATGATGATGTGGAAGTTATGTTGTCATTACTTCTTGATGCATGACGGCTGCAATACGTAGTTGCATTGAAAACGCGAGGAACTAGAGAGCACGATTTGTTCGAATGCAAAATACAGTTTCAACGTTAGATGGGAGAAATTTCTACACCGTGTACCTTATCACTAATTTTAGATCTGTAT